GAAGGTGGATATCTCTCTCTCTCTCTCTCTCTCTCTCTCTCTCTCGCTCCCTTTTTTTCTCCCCCTGTCTATCTCTCTGTCTATCTCTCTCTCTATCTGCCTCTCGCACTTGCCGGTTCTCTCTCTCTCTCACTCACTCTACCTCTCTGCAATTTTTCGAGGATTTGGTCTGATTTGCATATCGAAAGCGATCCGCTGAAACCATCATAACTTTCTTTTTCTTGCAGACCAATATAACACCCCAATTTCCTTTTCTATCCGACGGATATTTTTCCGGCCCATATCGCTAGTCAGGCCAAAATTGTCACGAGCTGCTGCCTCGATAATTCTCCTCCAGGGCCGAGCGCCAATTTCCTGCCAAATCCCAAAAATTCCCCTCCCCCCTAGATGCGCCTTCCATTCCAGGCGAATCCTGGAAACACACGCACGCGCGTGACTCCACACAATGGAACAAAGCAAATAAACTTTTCGACGCTTGTCCTGTTGCACTTTTCCTTAGCCTAAGCCTAAGCCTAAGCCTAAGCTTAAGCCTAAGCCTAGGCCTAAGCTCATTGCAAGAGGCGTAAAGAGGCTCGTTATGGACCCAAAAAATTCACTGTTTGCATCCCAAAAATGAATAGCCTTGAATGCTCCTAATTTCCCCGTTTTTTCTTGCGGGGGCGGGCGGCTGAATTGGCCTTAAAGGGCACGTTCAGGGACGTTTTTTGGAAAAAAGCAAAGGTTTTTGCTGCGGCCGGGGGTCGAACCCGGGCCCCCCGCTCGGGAGGCGCGGATGGATACCAGTCAGTAACAGCTACAACCGGCGAGGGGGGCGAGGGGCGCCCCACGCCGCAAGGGAGGGGATTGGCCTGTTACAGCACGGGCAGGCCGTGCGCGCGGTCCCTACGTCCATAGGGTGTACACGTTCGGACGAGTACACGGCCCCTCCCTGAACGTGCGCTTTAAAATTGCTAGCCAGATTCATGAAATTCCGCGTTCCAGGGAATTCAAGGTGCCGCTAGGGTACGGTAATTCTCTCTCTCTCTCTCTCTCTCTCTCTCTCTCTCTCTCTCTCCCACTCGCTCTCTCTCTCGCTCTCTCTCAGTCTCTCTATCTCATGCTCGCGTCACCTATCGTTAAACTAGCATCTTGGGAGTTTAAAACTTAAAGAGATGAGGACGGCATCTGTTGAACCCCCCTTGGGGAGGGGGGGTTCAACAGGTCCCGCGGCGATCTCGCGCGAGAGAGGGCTCCCAGGGGAGAGGCGCAGAGACATTTTCTTTCCACCGCGTAATCGATTGACTTATGCCGCCCCTATCTCTTTAAGAGAACAAAATACGAGCCTCCAAAACCATTTTTATTCCGATTTTCCGCTACGCTACACGCCTATCGACACCCCCGAAAATGAAGATCCCATTTTTTGCAGCTGCTCCTCGATTCGGTCCCAATCCAATGGCCATCCCCCCATCAACCCCCCGGTCCCCACAGAATCCTCATTTCGTTTTTAATAAACGGCCATCTGGGGGAAATTGACACGACCGCCGCTCGCCTACTAGAAATCCACCCTCAAATGCCTATAGATTGCTTTTTGCGGGGTTGGGATGTGTTTTTGTAATTGTTAATTTTATGGCTGGTTGGCGGCCAGCTTTGAGGAGCACATCATGCTCTGTATCTCTCGCTCTTGCTCACTCTCTGTCTCTTCTTCTCACTCTTGATCTCTTTCTCATGCTCCATTTCTCTTTCTCTGACTCTTTCCGCGTGTATTTCTCTGCCATTCTGACGCACTCTCTCACTTTCGCTGTCTCTCTCGCGCTCTCTCGCTCTCGCTCTCGTTCTTAGCACAGATCCTTAGGGAAACCACTAGAATTAAAGGGCTTAGGAACACAAATTTTCGAAATATTTTTCACCGGTGAACCAGCAAAGATAATTGAGGAATAATCAACTTTAAAGGGCTTGTCAAGGCATTTCTGCAGGGCAAGCTGGCAGTGAAAGTTTGGAAAAACCCCTTTCGCCCCTTTTCACCCGGCAGTAAACGTGATTTTTCAAAGAGTTTCAGGTCGACGGCGATAAGGCATCTCTCTCTCTCTCTCTCTCTCGCTCTCTAGCAAGACTAGGGGCCCACCGCCTCCCAAAAAGCCCTGAGGCTACTCCCCCTCGGCTCCGCGATTCAGGTTGTCCCGTTTGGCAGAAAATCGAATCAGGGTATGCCTCGTGTGGCCCACCCGACCACCACCATCGTCAGGCTTGGGTCCCTCTCTATTTTTTGGTCCTTTCTCTGCCCATTTTTTGGGTCCTGTCCAGGGATAAGCGGAAGTGGCCATGGGCCCTAAAAGGCCTCCCTGGCCCCGCGAATCCTGGCCCCAAGCCAGTGGCCCCCACTGATTGCTTTTGTTCTGGTGGGTGGGTGAATTTCACGAATTCCTCAGGAATTCAAGCTAGCTTGCCTTTGCCTAGCAAAGGATCTTTGCTAGCTCGCCTCCTCCCACCTTTTCATTCTCAAAGAATCTCTGCCAACTTGCCTCCCCTGAATTCCTGAAAAACCTCTACTAGTTTCCACTTTTCTGGCATTCCCCAAAATTCTCTGCTAGCCTGCCCTGGCCCCAGTTCCGCAAGAACCGCTGCTAGCTCGCCCTTTTATGAATTCTTCCGGAATTCCTTGCTAACTTGAATTGCCCTGGAATTCCGCAAAGAATCTCTGCTTGCTGGCTTCCCCTAGAATTCCTCAAAAATATCTGCTAGCTCGCCGCGTGCTTAATTCCTCAAAGGTCTTTGCTCGTTTACCCTGAATTCAGTGCCCCGATAATCTCTGCTAGCTGGCCTTTACCATGCAGAATAGGTGTTTAAAAGGTGTTTGGTTCTCGTAATTTTGTCCATCGGGATTCTGGCCATCGGGATTCTGGCTGTCGGCACTTTGGATGCCGGCATTTTGGCCGCCGGTAGGCTTGAAGTCAGACATCTGCAATTCCACAAAATCTCTGCTAGCTAGCCACCAGAAACTGACCAATTTCTCCTTCCCAGCACTTTTAATGGATCAATTCCGCAGCGGCTAGGGTGGTACTACCCCACGACTTGGCCCTCCCAAAACGATACCGCTTTTATTGGTGGGCCCCCGGGGCCCTGGAGGGTGCACTTTTTGGGACACACACACACGAATACCCATCCCCCTTTCAGCCACATCGCAGAAGGGTCGGCGGGTGCTAATTTCATTTGTAAAAGGAGGAGATGAGAGAGAGAGAGAGAGAGAGAGAGAGAGAGAGAGAGAGAGAGAGAGAGAGAGAGAGAGAGAGGGAGAGAGAGGGAAAAAGAGCGAAGGAGAGAGAGAGAGAGAGAGAGAGAGAGAGAGAGAGAGAGAGAGAGAGAGAGAGAGAGAGAGAGAGAGAAACATCCATCCCCCCGCCCGAGTTCACCGAGCATGACGTGTGGCTGGGTCCACGGGCTTTCGGGGAGACACCTAGGCCTAAATCTAAGTCTAAGATTAAGCCTGAGCTTGAGACTGAGCCTGACCATGAACCTAAAAAGCCGCTATGCACTGTACGTTTTGCCGGCCGAGTTTAGCTTTTTCTGCGCGAAAAATTTAATTGACCTAGATTTGCGTGAATTTTTGGGAGGAGTGTGTGTGTGGATTTTTGAGAGAAAATTTTAAAAAAATCTCTGCTAGCTTCCCTCGATTCAGAAGTACTTATTTGCTGGATTCCCAAAAATGAACGCAAGATTTCTAAGTTTCTCAAAGAACCTCAGCTGGATGGCTCTTTCTCTCAGATTCCTAAAGGACTTCTGCTGGACTTGCCTTTCTTTTCTTTCTAAAGAATCTCTGCTAGATTGCCCTTTTTGCGATTAGCCATTCCTAAAGAATCTCTGCTAAATTTCCGGCTTCCGATTTCTTGAAAAATCGCTCTAGCCGTCCCTTGGTCTATTCCCCAAAGATCACTGCTGGGTTGCTTCTCAACGTTCTAAGAATGAATTTCTGCTTCTCTCTCTCTCTCTCTCTCTCTCTCTGTCTCGCTCTCACTCCATTCTTTGACCTTCCCGACCTCATGCTCCTTAACCTCAACTTCCCCTAGGGCCCACATCTGCTATCGTTGCCCCAGGGTGAAGCTTTTTGCTGGCCTGCCCCTCGGTGCCCTGCTCGGCATCTCTTAATGGCGTTTTCGGGGCGGCGGGGGTGCCGAAAGGCGATTTGATCTCGACAGGAAGGAGATTGGGCCATGGGGGGCTTTTCTCTGGAGGTCTCCATCCTATCGGACCTCTAATACCACACCCACCCCCACAACAAACACGATTCCATTGGGGGGGGAATGGGCCTCGATTTTTGTCAGGGACTAATTGAAATTTTTAGGGGGTGGGGAATCGGCCTTCCGGGCCAGGAGCTCAAAGGGGGGTTTTAAAGGGAGCGTGCCAGCTAGATATTCTGTATCAATATTTCCGGGATATCCTTTTCTTTTAGCATACTTTTTCTCGAGCTCTCCCACTCGCGCTGGCACTCTTTTTCTCTTTTTCTCTCGCCCGGCTAGAGCTGAGCTGGAGCGGCAATCTAGCAGGGATTTTTGAAGAATTTCAAGAATTTGAAAGCGCTTTGGATGGTATTTCACTCTCTCGCTCACTCACCTTTGCTCTCTCTCTCTCTCTCTCTCTCTCTCTCTCTCTCTCTCTCTCTCTATCTCTCTCTATCTTTCTCTCGCTCTCTCGCTGTATCTCATTCTCTCTCTATCTCTCTCCCTCCCACGCTTTCTCGCTTTCTCTCGCTCTCTCCCTCTCCCTCCCTCTCTCTCTAGCTCTTAACATTTCTGACTTGAGCCCGTTTCTCAAAGAAACATTGCTAGCTCGCCTCCACCAATGGAATTTTCGGACAGAGCAATTTTTCCAAATTCACACTAATGACGCTCTCCATTTTCCATTTTTTACTTTGTACATTATCTACATGTCCTCCCACTTCGGAATTACCTCGCGAAACCGATCCCCCTCCTTCAGATGCGGCAGTCGACTTAAAACCTCCTCCCCCGCAAAATTCCGCTGCGCACCAAATGACAACACTGGAGCGGATGTCTTCAGTGGACCGTCCCCAGCCATCAGTCACCATTGCCGACCCTCCAAGCGGTGGTGGGACCATCGTATCGACCCGGAATTGCGCTAAATCCATCATCGACCGCAAGTTGCGGAAATTCGCCTCCGAAACGAGCTTTGCCGCCACGGAAACGGCTTCAGAATCGTCGTTGGAGAGGGATGACGCCAAGAAGGTATCGCGATATAGCCGGTTATTTTAGCGAAATTCGGTTTATTGACAGTAGTTGATACAAAAATACGTTTCTGGCAAAATTTACACCGGAATTCGGATCTTGTGCACTATCGGGGGAGGCGGGTTTTCCTGAGGTTTCTAAGAAAAAAAGACGCCTTTGTGTTTCGTCGTTAGGTTTCCAGATTTTTTAAAATTAAGCGATTTTTATGAACGAAAACTCGGTTTTTTTGTATACTTTTTTTAAAGATATTTCGATATTTTTGGAATCAAAAATACCGAAAATAGCACCGCAACACTTTATATGCTTACAGTAATAATTTGAATACGAGAAATAAACGATTTTCGAGCCAAATTTTGTGATTTTCAGCATTTCCCGAGGGTTTTTAGGCTAGTTTCCGATTTTAAATATGGCGAAATTCGCTAAAAGCGTTAAAATACATTTTATTTACTTATTAAAAACTAGCTATATATATTATTACTGGGCAAAGAATTCGCCCCCCCCCCGATAATGCAAAAGCACCGCAGAATTAGATAAGTCTTTGTGGAAACACAATTCAACTTTTAGCATGGTGAATCTAGCTAAACCGAATTTCGGTAAAATAACCGGCATCCAGGTATCACTTCGTACTCGCGTCTTCACCGTCAAGCCCGTCCCGAAGATCAACGGCGTCGGCAAGAGGCAAAGGCACGATTCGGAGGCCAGCAATTCGAATGGCAGCGAGGCTACGGTGGCCAGTGGAACCGGGACACCGATCGGAAGAAAGGCTCAGTTTCGACGCCCGAAAAGCGTCTCGGAGATGAACACCAGCTTCACGTCGGCCACGATTCACTCGTTGGAGAGCCAGGGGCTACTCCCGGCCCACCATACCGTAGATGAACGTCGCCCGAGCAATATCTACGTGATGGACGATGACTCGGTGCACGAGTTTGACGATATGAATGGTGGGTTTTTGGATTTTTCCGTATTTGTATTTTCTGTTTTTCTTTTTTACGAAAAATGCGTTTGTGACGGTGCGTAGGGCGTAGCGCGACGTAGCGTTTGGTACCGTTACTCGGTGTGGCGTTGCGTAACGCTGCCGAAACGTACCGCCTCGTAGAGGAAGATAACGTAGCGTTGCGTACCTCAACCAGTATTGCGTAGCGGTTCAATTGTGGAGCTTGCCGCTAAATTACGCGCTACGTAGAGTTCCATAGCGTCAGTACCGTAGCGTTGCGTACCGTCCAATTTTTCAGGGATGTTCAACTTCCCAGTGCCTTTAAAATACCAAAAATGAGGATTATTGATATCGTACTCGCTCTCTCTCTCTCTCTCTCTCTCTCTCTCTCTCTCTCTCTCTCTCTCTCTCTCTCTCTCTCTCTCTCGTCTCTCTTTCTTTCTCTTACCCTCTCTCTGTCTTTAAGTGGCCTGAAGCCGCGAAATATCGAATCCATACCTCCGTACCGTACCCCGTAATTGAAGTGGAATTTGCGCCAGGCTACTGTGCAAAAATACTGTAATTCGAGGAAAAAACCGAGATCTTTAAAGCTTACTGTCAACTGAAAAATCCTGGACTCCAAACTACAGTATTCCAATCTGCATCTAAATCTCAAAAATGACAAATTACTGTATTTCTCGCGATAATCCATTTCCTTGCCATTTTTATGTCTATTTTTCTTCAGTTTTTCGTCTAACCTGCGCCTGCGCGAGATCTCGGCCTAAGCCTAAGCCTAACCGAAGCCTAAGACTAAGCTGAATAAGCCTAAGCCTAAGCCTGCGCCATCCAGCCTGGCTCCCCCTTTGAACCCTCGATTTTCCTCGTCGTACATTTATGATCCGGTCTCATCCCCTGCCTGGGCCATTTCCTCCCCGAATTTTATGCTCAACCATTTGAAGGAGCGGCCCGTGTTGAACCGGGAATTATTTTTGAGGAGCAGCTAGGAGGGGAGCAGGGCGGATCCCTCTCCTCACCCCGAATTATTCGAACATGCCCTCAGGGCACATACGCGCGAATACACCCACTCAAAGCGGATAGGCTAGGGGGATTCCGAGATGCTCCAATGAACGCATGGAATTTTTGGATTTTGAGGGAGGAGAGAGATAGAAAGAAAGAGAGAGAGTGAGAAAGCGAGCGAGAAAGAGAACGAGATTCTTGAGGAGAACGAGATGCAATCAAATTGTTGATCCGAAGTCCTGGCAAGCTAGCGAAGACCCGGGAAAAATCGGCTCGAAGCGATATGGTCAGGATTTTTGAGGAGCACGAGCTCATGCTTTGTGTCTGTCGTCACTAGCAGAGATTCTTTAGGAAGTGTCCTAAGGCAAGCCAGCTGGGATATTTGAGGAAATCCGTTGCATGACCAGCTAACAGAGCAGGATGCTGAGCTCGTGTTCATCGCCAGCGAGCAGAATTCCTTGAGGAAAACGAGGTCAGGCACTGGTGAGTGCTGGTTAGCAGGGATCTTTGGACGAATCGAGCTCGAACGACCGCTAGTTAGCAGCGATCCTTGTGGAAATCTGGTGTCAGGCAAGGCATCGGATATTCTTGATGAGCTCGAGCTCATCTCTAGTTAACAGAGTCCGTTGATGAGCTTGAGCTCATCTCCAGCTAGCACAGATCCTCAAGCAAATCTGTTCCGAGGAGAGCTAGCAGAAACCCTTGAGGAGCTTGAGCTCACCGCTAGCTGGCAGAGATTCTTGATGAACTCGTGCTCATCTCTAGCTAGCAGTGATCTAAGGAAAATCTGTCACGTGAAGGGTAAGCCGAATTCCTTGTTGAACTCGAGCTCACCGCCAGCTAGCAGAGATTTTTGAGAAAAGCGAGTTCGAGCATTCCGGGCAATCCAGCATTGACCCCTGTGGAACCCCGCGCCTATTACACTCCGTGAAACTCGGGTTCTTCTCCTCCTCAACCCCCGCGAAGACAGATTCTCCATGGCCCACGGGAGGGGAAGAAAGAGGCCAAGGGCCCCCTCCTAGCAGCCTTAGAAGAAGGAGAAGGAGAAGGTCCTCCCCCTCCTGCCCAAAAAAGGGCCCAGAGGGGGCGGGCCCCCCTTTTTGGGTCCCCCTTCCTACTGCTTCTGCTCACCCCCCGCTCGGCCTCCTAAAGAGCTTTTCCTATCGCGGGTTGGGTGTGTGTGTGTGTGTGTGTGCATCGGGAGTGTCTTGCCCCCCGAGAGCACCACCCGATTTGGCCGGGCTATTGTTTTTTGAGGAGCCTGAACTTATTCCAGGCGAGCTGTTCGAGCTGTACGGCTTGATTTTGGCTTGTTCCTCATCTTGTGGTCAGCAACTATCCAAATCCTGTACTAAATCGATGCTAACCATTGTAAGAAGTTTTATTCCGGGTCGCTGAACTCCTTGAAAAGCACGGAAAGGACGAGGAGCTCGATATCCGGATTTTCTGAGCGTGTTGAAAAGCTCGGAAAGGAGAAAAATCCGTATATTTGGTGCTGTACACCTTGAAAAGCTCGAGCAGGATAAGGGGATATTCGGATCCTCTGAACTCTTTCAAAACCTCGGACATCATTTGAAGCTCGATATTCACTTCTGAACTGCTTGAAAAGCTCGGGAAGAACGCGAAACTGGATATTCTAACTTTCTGAACTCCTTGAACAGCTCGGGTTTCCAAAAGCCAATATTCCAGACACAAGAGCGTCGCGTCTTCGAGGAGTTTAAGCCTTTGTTCTGCTCCTTGAAGCCATACTCTAACTCTGAATTTTTGCAGCACTAGAGACGCACAGAAAACCACGTCTTCGAGCAGTACGCCTTCGCAACCACCCTATTCCCCCTATGTTAGATGGAGGCTGGACATGTCCGAGTCGTCGTCACCGCCACCGATTCGGTGACTGCCCAGGAGCCACCGCCGCAAGTCCGGAACGGTGGATACGCCAGAAAACCGGAACCCAGGCTCCGAGCCCTGAACCGGAGGACCTCACACACCCTACTCTACGTCCCAGATGCCAGAAGAGTATCCACCACATCCGGCGCATCGATTTCGAGCTGTCCGGCCGAGGTGTCAGAGCCAGATGCCGGCGTGGGCAGCTCACAGCCAGATTCGCGGGACCCGACTCGGCGAAAGTCCGTCCAAACCGGAGCCCCGGCTATAGGATTCCGGCCTGTTAGAGCGTTTGAGAGACGAAGCTCGCAGCCTACGCTGCAGCTCCAGACGAGGAACGGAAGCAGCCACGGCTCCCCAGCTATCAGGTGGGAAGAGAGGGCTTGTCGCGGATTTTTTGGGATTTTTTTAATAGCTTGTTAAAGCAGCAGATAGGTCGGATTCCACAGGCGGCCTCAAAGAGGTGAGACTCCAGTTGCTGTATCTCGGTTACCCTTTGGCCTACAAGTTTGTAAAGTATATCAAAATGTTCGCCTTGGTTTAGCGAGTATTTTGGTATACTTTACAATTCTTTAACCGAAAGAGCAGCCTAGATACAGTAGGTGGATGTCGGCTTCGGGTCACCTGGAGCACCCTCAAAAATCAACTCTCGGCATTTGATCATCTTCAAACCGTTCGGGTTTATATTTTAACCAGCGATGAAGACGGATAAAAACTATATGTATGCAAATTTTCAAGGTAAAAGCTTGTAAATTAAGAACCTTATAAGCTATTTAAGGTTTTTGACACTTTTCACTTGGCGATAATTTTTATTTCCGAAAATGATCGCTTAAATCTGCCTGATCAATAGCGTTTTAACAAAAAACGACAACAATCTATTAAAATTGATGATTTCTCAAGAAATTACCCAAATTCTGTATGCTAAAGTCGATAAAAGAGCCGAAAAGGAGTACTGAAATTCTAGAAAAACAAGTTTTTTAGCCATAAGTTTTTGCCTTCCGCTGTTCGTTTGCGAAAATTTGCGTGTACATAGCCTTTTTACGTCCGCATCGCTGGTAAAAATTTGAGCCTGATCGGATAGAAGATGCTCAGATGCCGACGATTTTTTTGGAGTTTTCCTGGCGTTTTCGGAGGTATCTGCGGCTTTAGCCAGCTATTACAAAAATTCTCGACAAGACTTATCCTCCTACCCAATAATTATTCCAGCGGAACGAGAAGAAGCTCCCGCCAAGTCGAATTTAATCTCGAGCAACCACCATCTGATACCGTCTCCACATATTCCCAGGGCCAGCACTGCGTCGTGAGGAACGTCCCGGAATTGGACGAATCCATCGATAGCAAGGCGAAACTCTTGAATAAACGGGTCAGCTGGCTGTCGATGAAGAGCCTCCAGGACCAGGTCGAACCGCTGTTGACCATTAAAGGTATGCGAGGGCGGCTGTGGCGCAGTGGCTAAGCGGACGCACTGGGGGATCTGAGGGTCAGGGTTCGATCCCGCCGGGGGCTTTTGCCTCTTGAAATTTTCCAAAATAGTTTTAAACTTTTATTTTCAATTTTGCGCTCGTTTTTGCACAGCTAAATTCTGTCGTTTTGTTTTTTGACAATTTTTACTTTTTTATTTTTTTCGGGCTGAAAGTCACGATTTTTGAGCTCAGAATCCGAATCTTGGCCAAATTTTCGTTATTAGCTATTTTTCCAGATGCGCTCTATTTTAAATATCTTAAAAATTCACTAAGAATTGCTATAGAGTTTCCAAAAATTTAGGAAATATTATTAAGCTCAATATCGCGAATTTCTACCCACAGGGCCCGAACCCTGACACCCAATTCCACTAATCCCGCCCAACCCCATCGCGCCACGGCGCCACCACCCCCGACTTTCAAGGCAAAATCCGGCGGACCAGCGGCCAAGGCAGCCCCACCACGGCCGCTACGCAACGCTACGACTCGCGAGCGGGCAGCGTCTATGGGAGCGTCGCGCAGCTGGACGATGCGATCGAGCTGGAGAGTGACACTCCGCCCATGGACACGTTGTCTTGGAATTTTGCAGGTTGCAGAAGAGAGATCCCTGAAATTTTGGTTTTCTTGATTTTTCAAGGGTCTCAGGGATTCCGTACAGCTACTGTGAACGGGTTACGGTACCGGGGTTGGCGGATGTACAGTTCCGCGGTCTGAAAGCTGCTCTTTTTGGTCATCTCATTTTCTCTCGTTTCTCTGCTTGTCTGTCTGTCTCTCGCACGCTCTGTCTCTCGCTGCCTCTCTCGCTATGTCTCTCTCGCTCTCTCTTTCTCACTCTCCCTCCCTCGCACTGTCTAGTCCGCCATTTAACGTGTTTTGACTTGGAAATTGGCTTGCACCCAGGGCTTTTGATGGCATAAGCGCTAGAGAGAGAGAGAGAGAGAGAGAGAGAGAGAGAGAGAGAGAGAGATAGGAAGCGAGTGAATGAGCAAGAGATAGATGAGCGCGAGATAAATACTCCATCTCCCCCATAGATAAATGTCCAGGGCCTCTCTAAAAAGTGGCCGATCCTCGGGTCGTCGTGTGGATGGGCTGTCCCTAATTCGATTGCGCGTCTCTCTCTCTCTCTCTCTCTCTCTCTCTCTCTCTCTCTCCCTATCTCCCTCTCTCTCTCTCTCTCTCTGTCGCTCTCTGTCATTATCCATCCGATGAAAAGCCTCCTCATCGGCTTGGTGGCCCCATCGGCTTGGCTGGGTGGGCCTCAAAGTGGGTCCCCAGTCCACCCTACTCATAAGTGAGGGCATCTGCCATTTTCAGGCTCCAAGCCAGAGTTGACTACTCCGTTTTCCGGCCGCTTAGATTTTTTTTATCTGTATTCTTAATGCTAAAATTAGTCTTCAATTTAGACCACTCGAAAAAATTTTGTAACTTTTAACCTAAAATTTTCTGATTTGTTCACTCATTTCATTTGACTTTGACTTTCACTCAAAGCGAGACCAAGCCGTCCAGGTCCAGGGTCCAAAAATGGATTGCAGGAAGGGCACAGAGGGGTTGCAGAAGTGGAAGAAGAAGCAGCAGAAGAAGACGAATAACAAAATACACCCCAAAAAATAGGGGGGAGCAGGAGAAGAAGCTCTGGCCGGACACCTCCCCCGCCACGCCGATGATAGATGCCCGCCGAGGGGGGTGGGACAAGGATATTTTGACTTGCTCTCTCTCGCTCTCTCTTTCTGTCTCTCTGTCGCTCTCACGCTCTCTCCCCCTCTCGCTCTCACACCCTCTTCCTCCTGAGACTTCATTCTCCAATTTTGAAACTTTAATAAGTGTTGAAGGTCAATTGGTTGGTCTCTGTCTACCTGTCTCGCTTTTTCTCTCTTTCGCTCTCTCTCCCTGTGTCTCTCTCTCGCTCTCTCTCTTTCTCCGCCAATGTACGAATCTAGCCCCAACTTTTTGCACTCCCCACTCCCCAATTTCTCCCGACCCCATCTTCCTTCCGGGACCCACCACAGGGCCCAGGAGAGGGCCCAAGAAAGGACCCAAAAGTTCGTTCTCCCTGCTCCTCTGGTACAAGGGCCACTTGGAGAGGGCCAACCAGGGCCCACCTCAAGAAAAATGGGAAGCGGCAGATATGAAAATTTCGGGAGGGCCAGGTGTTCGGTGGAGTGTTTTGGAATTTTTGGATTTTAGCGAGGGAGAGAGAGAGAGAGAGAGAGAGAGAGAGAGAGAGCGTGAGAGAGAGAGATAACCAGAGAAAATTCCGAACTCCTCTAGTTGACCGCTTCCTCTTTTTCCGGTCTCAAAACTCTGCTTCTAATCCCCACGTCCACTCACTCACCCCATCTAAGCCTGGCTGGAGTCGAGTCGAGCCAGAAGTAGAATTTTGTCGATTTCCTCCCCTTTTTCTCCTCTCAAGCTCGAAAAACATCGATAAATCTTCCGGATTCGGAGTCTACTGTTTTACGGGCTTGTAGTGGCGGCTGGCTGGAAATTACTTGGGTAAGCGCCAAAATATCCAGAATTCAATTCAACGAAAAATTCTAAAACCTTTGAGAAAATCTTCCGATAATCCTTCGAATTATTCAAATTACACGAAATATTCCATAGCTAGCAAAATCCATGCTTTTGGCTCGCGTTGCCAAGTGAATTTTTTCAATTTATCTTCCGCTATTGTCGATCTCCCCGATTTTTGTGATAATTTTCTATGTCCCATTCCTCCGCTCTCTGTCTCTCTCTCTCTGTCTGTTTCTCTGTCTGTCTCTTCCTCGCTATCCCTTTCTTTCCCTCTTTCCCTTTCTATCCCTCTCTCTCTCCCTCTCTCCCTCTCTATCCCTCTCTCTCTTCCTCTCTCTCTCTCTCTCTCTCTCTCTCTCTCTCTCTCTCTATATCTTTCGCTCTCTCTCCCCCACTCGCACCATAAGTACACCCCACCAGGCCAATTCCAGTACCTCCGAGATGTTTCCGCAAAAATGGGCTGCGTCCCAAAAAGATTTGCCCCGGGGATGGGCCCTTCTTGGGTGCTTCAAGAAGGGGGCAAGGAGGCTTCTCCTCCTCAGATTCGGCTGAATAGATTTTGGGGGCCCCTCGGCTTCTTGTATGTTGCGGGGGGCCTGGAGGGAATATAGGGTCCCACAGCAGGGGCAAGTGCTGCCGGCCAGTTCCGGCTTCGAATGCAAAGGATAAAGGGTCAGAGTTCGGGGGCTAGGGTTGGGATGGGCTTAGGTTTAGGCTTGGGTTTGGGCTTAGGTTAGGCTTAGCTTAGGCTTAGCTTAGGCTTAGCTTAGGCTTAGCTTAGGCTTAGCTTAGGCTTAGCTTAGGCTTAGCTTAGGCTTAGCTTAGGCTTAGCTTAGGCTTAGCTTAGGCTTAGCTTAGGCTTAGCTTAGGCTTAGCTTAGGCTTAGCTTAGGCTTAGCTTAGGCTTAGCTTAAGCTTAGCTTAGGCTCGGACTTAAGCTTAACCCTTGCTTACCCAAAGGGGTCCTAGTCCACTAACGGGGGGTATTTTAGCGGGCGGGAAAGTCTAAAAATTATTGCTTTATTCATAATTCCTTACCGATACCTTTCCAGACGAGTACGACAACGTGACGTTGATGTACGCAAAACATGAGAAAATCCCGATGAAGGACTTTGGGTCCGAGATCCGCGCCACGATGGACATTGATCATCTACTGAACAAGGCCGTGCTGCTGCTCGACTTGCAGGAGACGAGTCTCGAGGAGATCTTTGCAAAGTGAGTTTTACGCAGTTTTTAAGCTAGCTCTCTCTCCTTCTCTCGCGCGCTCTCACTCTCTCTCTCGCTCACTCTCTCTCTCTCTCTCCCTCTAAATTCCGGAAGTGCTGTAGGATCCAATTTTCTCCATTCCTGAGTGTTCCATAGTCTCCAAAAGGCACCCGGGAACGCCGGAGGCATAATTTTTCAGGGAGCACGGGCCAGCTAATCCCCACCCTGACCCCTTCTTCTCGTGCTCCTCCTTCTCCTCCCTCCCATACATCATCTGGGGGTAGCCACGAAATTTGTGACTGGCCGCGGGGAGGAAGGGGTTGAAAACGCAAGAACTTGGGTTAAACGTCATCGCTGCGAAGCTTCGAAGCCTGAGCCTAAGCCGACGCCTAAGTCCAATCCTAAGCCTAATCCTAAGCCTAAGCCGACGCCTAAGTCTAATCCTAAGCTAAGCCTAACCCTAAGCCTAAGCCTAAGCCAAGTCTACACATAAATCTAGGCCTAAGCCTAAGTTCAAGCCTAAGCCTAAGCCTAAACCCAAGCCTATACCTATCAAGCGCCCCAGCTGCAAACGTTTGCAGCTGCCACAGCCTATTTTTAACTCCTGCGAATCAGGCACCTGTTTGAAGCCCAACCCTGAGATATTTTAATCAAAAAAATGTGCTTTTCCGGGTGTTCTGGAGGGGAACAGAAGCCGGGGGTCCCCTCCAGGGCCGACTAAATGAATATATTCCCAGAAATGGAAAATAGCCGCTGCGGGGGGAAGGGGCCAACGCCCGGCTACAAATGACGAATATAGAACCAGGGGATTCAGGAGAGGCGGTAAATATTCAAAAACTAAAAATGAGTACTGGTTCATTATCGGGGGTAAGTGAGATCTTTAGCATACGTCAATAAATCCCTGGTAATCTAACAATAACTATCAGGTTGGAACGAAAGTTCTGTCGTCGAGATTTTGGAAGCCTGGCTAAAATCATAGATAGCTCCATTCTGCACATGCGATATGTCATTTTGTAGGTCTCGGTCTGAATGGTTCCGGGAGGAAGGTCCTGGGCCCTCAAAATCAAGAACGGCCGAGATACAGGCCCAAGAAGATTTTTTAAAAATTACGAGAAAGTGTTTTTGCAAGTTATCTCTGCATAGAGCAATTTGCATGCGATACCTTTAACGCCAAAAGATAGATCTCGAGGAGTAAATATTGATAGATTTTGAGATCATCAAAATTGGACGCTGGATGGCCGAGATATGGGCCCTTGAAATTTGGCCCATTTCTTAGAACTTTTCTCACAATCCCATACATTTCCAAAAAATTGACGGACAGGTGCCAAAAATTACCGCTTTATTTTTGGAGCGGAGCGGATTTTGAAAATGTATGGGAAATCGTTCCAACCTGATATTTCAATACGATTTTGAGCAAATTTATCTAAATTTTAATTGGAAATTATCTAAAAAACCATCTAAAATTCTGTAAAATTCGGAATTCTCTCTCCCCCTTCTCTCTCTCTCTCTCTCTCTCTCTCTCTCTCTCTCTCTCTCTCTCTCTTTACCTCGTTCTCTCGCTTCGGCCAAAATTCTACTCCTCCAATTCCCGGGGGCTAGACTTTCATCTGCTAGGAATTCATCCCAAAAGCCGCGAGCGTGGCAGGACCCAATTTGGGAAATGACACCCGGGGCTCCACCCTCGCTTTCACCCCCCACAATATCTCTTTCAATTTTTTGCGCGGCTCAGCCTCTCATAGAAAAGCCTAAAGGGTATAGAGAGAGAGAGGGAGAGAGAGAGAGAGAGAGAAAGAGAGAGAGAGAGAGTGGCCCAGAAAAGCCAGTGAATTGCCCTCCACCCTCACTCGGCAGGGCCCCAAATTACTGGGGGCGTCAGGGGGCCCCGACTGGAAAATAGCCTAGATAGGGATTCCAAAAGAGAAAGTGGGGGACCAAACTAGAATTGGAACCTTTGCTAGCAGAGACCATTTGGGATCATCCAGGGATTTTGCTGGCACCATCCCTTTAAAAATATGCATTTTTGGCATACGAATTCCGTTTGAGACAATTGGTTAAAATGTCGACATCCGGGGCCCGAAAGTGAAAATACCGACAACGCGAATCCCGACAGCCGAAAAATAGCTGTTTCAAAGGGTGGGACGGTCAAACTAGCATAAAAATATGCCGACGAATCTCCGTTTTAAAGGACCGTTGAAGCCACTTTCTACACCCTAAAGATAGCCGCCGCCAAGCGTGTCTGAGGGCTAGCTAGCAGAGAATATTTCGGAAATCTTACGAGTCTTAGGACCATTATAAGGGACAGGAAAGTAAGAAATCCGGTTGTATCAAGTTTACTGTAAGTTTTACCGTAATTGACAATTTCCAAGCCCATTTTCTCACTTCTAGCTATGGATTCCAGCCTTCCCAGTCCCTTTAAAATCCATGCTTGCCGCCAGGTTTTTTCAGATCCTACTGGCCGCCTGGTTGACATGGCGGTGACGAGCCGAATGCTGGGGAATTATTTTCGGCTCTCTCTCTCTCTCTCTCTCTCTCTCTCCCTCTCTGCCGAGATAGATGCATTATTCGTTGTGTTGGGCTCCTCGTCTCCAGGCGGCCGGGCCCTTAAAAGTCGGGGGCATAAATCGAGCGCGCTCCGATTATGGGGTGGGGGTGGAGGGCCCGCGGGGGGGACATACAACCACAAAAACAAAAAGCAGGAGTTCTGGATTCGAATAATTTTTGGAGAGGGAGAGAGAGAGTGAAAGAGAGAGTGAAAGAGAGAGCGAGAGAGAGAGAGCAACGGACAGAAATCCGAATTATCAAACATTCTACACCCAATTTCCAGAATCATCCACGAGATGGATATCCAGGAGCCCGAGTTTACATCCGAGCAGGTCAGAAGCGTGCTCTTCACCCAGGATGCTGGAAATCAATGTGGGTTTTCAGGAGCTTAGACTTAGAATTGAGCTTGAGCTTGGGCTTAAGCTTAGGTTGGCTGTTGCTCCTCAGGCTGGGGCTCCTCAGTTCCAAAGCGAGAAAGAGAGCGAGAGCAAGAGAGAGAGGGGGAGAGAAAGAGAGAGACCGAGCCAAAGAGAGAGGGCGGGAGCGAGAGCAACTCTTTCAAGCCTTAAAAGCTTTGAAATGCTCATGCTCATCTTCATATTTCAATTTTCAGTCCACATCCTGTCCCGTACGGTCCAGAGCATTTGCACAACCGGCACCAGCGGCGGCTCGTTCGACTATGACCAGACGTGGATTTGCGCTCTGTACGTCTCCACGTCGTCACCTTAAAATTCGAATTCCAAAAATTCCTGACTACGCGCGATTTTTTTTGGGGGATTTGGTTGTGAGGGGAAATCCGGGGATGTGGCCCGCTCCCCTAAAATTAGCGCGTAGCCCCGGGCAGCCGCTACGGCTATGCCTGGTGGAATTTGGTGTTTCGTGGAATTCGAAAATGGGGGGACAGGGATGTAGAAGTGAAATGTTTAAATTAAACCTGTGTCATTCCAATGCAAAAATGGATTTTAAATTAAATAATGGAAGCATCGTTCTACCTTGAAATACCCAAATTAACCCGAATTTTTAGATGTATGCTAAACACCGTACAACACCGACACGTCGCCATCGCCCGACTTTCCCATCCGACAAATCTTGGCAGGACGATGCAGGATCTACGATTTATCATCATCGTCATCGCGCCGAGCAGAGCGGTCAGTTTTTTTATGAATATAGGCCTAAGCCGAAGCCTACCCCTAAGCCTAAGCCTAAGCCTATCCCTAAGCCTAAGCCAAGTCTAAGCCTAAGCCTAAGCCAAGCCTAAGCCTAGGCTATGCCTAAGCCAAGCCTAAGCTAAGCCAAAGCTAAGCCAAAGCTAAGCCAAAGCTAAGCCAAAGCCAAGCCAAAGCTAAGCCTAAGGATCACGTATCCTTCTGCTGCCCTTTGTGAATGTTTTTGGCTCCCCCGCAGATCGCGACTGAGAGTTCGTTAGCTCGTTTTCGTCTTGACTCAACCCCGCCGGAAGGGGGGTAAAGGAATGGAAAAGCAGATAAAAAAGAAAAGGGTTGGCTCCTCCTAGACATCTCGTCCTCCTTCTCCTCCTCCTCCTCCCCTCCTCCAAATCGTGCGGGGTTGAATCTCCTCTTGGCCTTCCTTTCTTGGAGGGAGGGGGACAAATTGCGTTTGCCCAACACATCCACCCACCCACCCAGTCGGGGTCTAGGGGGAGAAGCTGAGGGAAAGCTGAGGAAAAGCCAGGGGTTTTCTCCTATCGCCAATGGATTCTGGGGACAAGCAAGAGAACGAGCTTTCTCAACCAAATCCCGGAAACGTGGAATTGATTCACGGGAAATTGGGGGTAAGGAAGGAAAGGTATTTTTTAAGGGAAACGTGAGGAGCTGGCTTGGATTGACGCTGATTTGAGAGTGAAAAGACAGGCTAGCAGGAACCATTTCCCGAGTCCCCAGAATTCGGAAGCTAGCAGGGATACGTGAGGATTCTAGCCAAGGGGAAATGGGAGCGAGAGAGAGAGAGAGAGAGAGAGAGAGAGAGAAACCGATCGAGGGAAAAGGCGAGAGAGAGCATGAGAAGCGTTTGTAAATCCGGTGTAGCTAGCAGATCCTTGAGGAATCGTAAACTAAATTTCCCCCATTTCAGAAAGGCACAAAAACGGCTCTGGAGACCACCCGAACATTCGCGACCCTGTTCGCCGATATGGACATCCGACAAAGGCTGGTGATGGCGCAGACTGTCGATCAGTTCAGGTAAGGAGAGAGAGGGAGAGAGCGGGAGAGCGAGGGAGAGAGAAAAAGAGAGGGAGAGAGAGCGAGAGAGTGAGAGAGAGAGAGAGAGAGAGAAAGGGAGGGAGGGCTTGCGAGCACGAAATAGAGAGAACCGAAGAGCGTAAAATAGCGTATTTTTTTAGAGCCACTCTCCTCTCCGCAGCCAAAGAACTGGCGATGGATCAGAACGAGTGGCGGGAGCGGAAGAGCAGCATTCACCTCAGCCAGGCCAAGGAGCATATCGTGAGTTTTCCGCGTAGAGGGCGGTCTAGCAAGGATTTTTAGGGAATCTGGGGCATTTAGCATGGGTTATTTTGGAAAAAACAACTCATTTTTAGCGACTTTTCCGTTCGTATTTTAAGCCTTTTTCAGTTCGGCCCGGGGCGGTGGTACCCGTTCCGCGGGCTGCTCGGCGAGTTCAAGCGCCGCTTGAAACACTACGGCAGCGACTATGCTGACGGGTTATTTGGGCACAAAACGATACAGGTACGCGTTGGAATTGTTGAGCATTTACTGTAGAATTAAATTTTTATAATTTCCGAAAATTATTTTTATTATTTTTTTGAATTTAAGTACGATTTTGAAGTTTAATTTATATTAAATAGCTATATATGCTTTAGAAACTGTTCTCAACGGTGGTCTTTCTCTATTTTGCCTGTCTACTCCCGGCCATCGCCTTCGGTGTTCTCAACGATGATAATACGGACGGGGGAATCAGTCAGTTTTTACGAGCTTTTTAAAGGGACTGGGAAGCGCGAAAATCTACCTCACCTGGCGGCTACTAGGTCTCGACATCTACATAGTACGCCAAAAAGGCTTCCAAAAATAGCGATGGAATATTGGAAAGGCGAGAGACAAAGAGAGAGCGAAAGAGAGAGAGAGAGAGAGAGAGAGAGAGAGAGAGAGAGAGAGAGAGAGAGAGAGAGAGAGAGAGAGAGAGAGAGAGAGAGAGAGAGAGAGGAGTTAGAGAAATTGGAGCAACGGCAGAGCGTGAGTAAGCGCAAGAAAATCGAGAGGAAAAGAGGCAATGCATAAATTTGCATAGCTGTCGAGACCTAGCAAACCCAACAAGTCGATTCTGCCGCTTCTCAGTCCCTTTAATGCCATAAATATTGCCTAAAAAATCCAGTAAATCCAATTTCCCTTGCAGATGTGCGTAAAGTGATCTTTGCTCAAGCGATTGGAGGCCTTTTCTTTGCCGTCTTTGGCGGCCAGCCCATGATTATATTGCTCACCACGGTCCCGTTGGCCATCTACATTAAAGGTCGGTGGAGGTCCCGGAGATTCGGTACTACTTCATTATCGGGGGGTGGCTTAGGTCTTTAAACACCCTTTAAAATCCCTTTAAAAGCTTGTCAACTCAACCAAATTTCTCCGTTTCAGTAATATATCGGATAGCGCAAAGCCTCGGCTACGACTTTTTCGCCATGTACGCGTGCGTCGGCATATTCTGCCAGCTATTTTTGATACTCTACTCGGCCACCGAGGTGTGCAGCTTGATGAAGCTGGCCACCAGGTTAGAGAACATGAACAGGGCAGAAGATGATCACCCATTTTTCAGGTCGGCCGAGGAGATGTTCTCACTATTTATCGCGATCGCGTTCATTGTGGAAAGTGTTCGAGCCGTTCATGCAAGTGAGTGGGAGAGAGAGATAGAGAGAGATAGAGAGAGAGAGAGAGAGCGAGAGAGAGAAAGAGCAAGAGCGGGTGTGTGCGAGAAATAGAAAGAGCCAGATAGAGCGAGCGGGAGACAGAAAGAGAGCGAGTGAGAGAGACAGAGACAGAGAGAGCGAGCGAGCGAGAGAGAGCAAGAGAGCGAGAGAAACAGACTGACAGAAAGAAAGAGAGAAAGCGATAGCGAGAAAGAGAGAGCGAGAAAGAGGGAGAGTGAGTGCAAGAGAGAGAGAGAGAGAGAGAGAGAGAGAGAGAGAGAGAGAGAGAGAGAGAGAGAGAGAGAGAGAGAGAGAGAGAGAGAGAGAGAGAGAGAGAAAGAGAGAGAGAAAGAAATAAACCTATCCAAAATCCAATTTCCAGGCTTCCAAAAGAACTACTTTGCGTGCTCAAACGACGATACGCTCCGGAATATCACGACTACAGCGTATAACACGACCGTCGAGACAATGGTATTTTTTGGCTCATCCAGCGTGATAACATAATCCTCCAGCCCGCAAAATTTGAGCTAATTGACAAATTTTTAGCGGGAATGCCGACGCGACACGTCCGTCTGCTACATGTTGTTAATGTTGGGAACACTGTGGCTGGGGCTGTTTTTGTATAATTTCCGGAAGACGCCGTACTTGACGAGGTTGGTGGTTCTGCCAAGATACCATAAGCGGTCAACTTTTAGGGCCCGACGAGAGTGGCTGGCCGACTACGCGCTGCCGGCCTCGGTTTTGATCATGACCTTCGCCGGGGCGTATATTTTTAAGGAAATTGACAGTGGGTTTTAACGTTTCTTTTTGGTTTTGATTTGCATCCTGGTTCCTTTAAAAATATGGTTCTTTTCTATTATCGGTGGGGGAATCAATTTTTCGAATATCTATCGATTTTCTTCATACTCTTAGCTACTATTACTCAACGCAAAAATCCTAAAAAATAAAAAATATTGATTTTCCGTTAAAAAGTTCCATTTTGTGATGTTTTTGAAAGTTTTTTACTTATTTTTCCGCCCATAAATATCGTTACATTTTCTAAAAAATAGTTTTGAATAGTTGCAATTACGTTACTAGACATTTCTAGCTTTATACAAAAATTACCCCCACCCCCGATAATGCAAAAGCGCCAATAAGGTGTACTCTTGACCTAGCATTAACGCCCCTGCATTTTCCAGAGGACATGTTCAACATGCGCGACGAGGTGCCGCTGATCCGCGTGGCCGACATCTTTGCTCTCCCGTGGCAGGCGTACTTCATCTGCTTGGTGTTAGGCTTGTCTCTCTCCTTCCTCTTCTTCATCGACCAGAACATCACGTCGGCGATAGTCAACAACCCGCAGAATAAGTCGGTTTTTGAGGAGAGAGAGAGAGAGAGAGAGAGAGAGAGAGAGGGGAGAGAGGGAGAGAGGGCGAGAGAAAGCGAGAGAGAGTGAGAAAGAGCGAGTCGACAATTTCAAGCAGCATATCTTATTTTTATCTAATTCTCAATATTTATCAAATTTCAGACTGAAAAAGGGCCAAACCCAAAATCTCGACCTGTTCGTCGTGGCCGTGCTGAACATGTTCCTCTCGCTGGTCGGTTTGCCGTGGATGCACGGTGCCCTTCCCCACTCGCCACTTCATCTACGAGCCCTGGCCGACGTCGAGGAGCGGGTATCGCAAGGACACGTTCATGAAGTGTACGTCGAGCTCATGATTTCCGGTTATCAATTTTTTCAGAATTATGAACGTGCGAGAGACGAGGGTGGCCACGATGTTCGCGCATTTTCTCATCCTGTTGTCGACGTTTTATTTGTTGCCCTACCCGTTACGGTGGATCCCGACATCGGTAAGGAAGAGAGAGAGAGAGAGAGAGAGAGAGAGAGAGAGAGTGGATACGAAGATTACGCGTATCTTTTCAGGTGCTCCACGGTCTCTTCTTGTACATGGCGCTGACGTCGCTTACCGGCAATGAAATGTTCGAGCGGTTGCTGCTCCTCATCACCGAGCAGGTCAGCCAAATTAAGGCGGATAAATATTGGGATAAAGCTGCTTTTGAACGTTTTCAGTTTTTTTTTATTAATTGATTAAATTAATTGTTTTAATTAACGTATTTTTAGAGTATTTAGGCAGAATTCTAAATAAATTTATTGGAAAATATATCTTTTTCAGCAAGCCTACCCGCCCACCCATTACATTCGGAAGGTCCCGCAGCGAAAGGTCCACCTCTTCACCGGCTGCCAGCTTTTCCAGGTACGTCTCTCTCTTTCTCTATTTCTCTCTCCCTCTCTCTCTCTCTCTCTCTCTCTCTCTCTCTCTCGCTCTCTCTCGCTTTTTCTAACTCGCTCTCTCTCTCTCCCTCCCTTTGAATACACAATTTTTAGTTGGTAATCCTGTGCGCGTGCGGCTTCTCCCCGTACCCGTTCGTCGAGATGGTCTTCCCCGTCGTCTGCATCCTATTCCTGCCGATACGGTGGGTTACGGTGGCCCGTTTTGCAGATACGAGAGTTGGCAATAAAGACTCTATGCAAATTTAACAAATCTCAAAATTTCGAAAATTTAGCTCGTATTTTCTGCAAATTTTAGAATTCCTAGTTGCATCTTTATGTAAAATCCAAAATTTTAGGCTAATGTTCATATTTTGCGTATTCAGTTTAGGTAAGGGGATTGTTTTAAAAAATCGTACATTTTAATTAGGAATTACATTATTTTGACGTAGATTCAACCGATTTTTATGCAAATTCGAGCCTTTTTAAGATCTACGAAACTTTTTATGTTAATTAAGGTGTTTTTGCATAGCACTAAAAAAATTTTATGTTGTTTTTCCACGTAACTTATTTTATTTTTTCGATATTTGAATGATATGCAAATTATTAATTTTACGGATTTCTGACGTTATGCAAATTTTAGTTTATGTAAATTTCGCTTTTTCAGGCACACCCTGATCCCGCGTATCATCGACTACAAGTACCTGGATGCCCTCGACGGCAAGCATTAAATAGGAAATATATTAGTTCATTTGTTTGCCATAGTTTCAAATTTGTGATGATTGCCCCTCCCCGAGACTTCCCGGTCCCTTTAAACTCTCCGCCCGCTAGTCGATTTACCTTGTACATACCGAATATGAGCATCCGAGACACCGTCTACCGGCTGAAAATGGGTATTCTGGCCGCCGTCAAATGGTAATTACCCTAATTTACATAATTTTGCTTTTTTGCGGTTTTTAATGGTGGTATTGTTTTAAGCTTATTCTAATTAGCTTGAACTTAACTTTTATAAAATTTATTTTACGAAAAATTTGAAATCTCAAAATTCAAAAAAACTTAAAATTTACGTAATTTTGAAAAAATATGTTTTCTTGGTTTCTGTGATTTCTAAGTGGCGGAAAATCCAATAAATTCGAATTTCAAGCACAATCCCACCGACTAAAACCTCAGAATGCTTAAAAACGGTAATTCCTGTAATTTCCCTAATTTGCATAATTTTCTTAGCCCGCCCCTTCCCTAAGAATCTCACAAAAACCCAATCCAAGCTTAAGCCTAAGCCAGGCCTAAGCCTAAGCTTAAGCCAAGCCTAAGCTAAGTTTAAGCGAAGTCTAAGCTAAGCCTAAGCCTAACCCTAAGCCAAGCCTAAGCCAAGACTAAGCATAAGCCGAAGCGAAGCCAGGCCTAAGCCTAAGCCTACCCCATTTTTTAATTAATTTCCGGTGAGCCTTTTCGCGAGCGTGATAAGACGAGGTGAGTATTTCTGTGTCCCCTTTTGCCATTTGCATTTTACCTTACTTTTCGATATTTTTGGATTTTCGAAAACGCAATATCCCGGAGCGCCGGCTCCACCATCTTCGAATTTTTTTGTATATGCATTTTTGTATTTTTCTATATTTCAGAATTTTATGCGAATTTTGCGTCTGGGGCACCCCGTTGTGGAGAGTTCTATCTATTTTTTTGCGTCTTCTGGTCACACATTTTTGGAGAATAAATTTTTATGCAAATTGAGGAAATAACGAAATGCAGGCACTTAAAAAACACTGAAAGCATAATTACAGTCAAAATCATGAAAAATCCGAATTTTGTTATGTTTTTAATATCATAATTTTGTTTTTGCATTTTCGAGACCGTAATCGATTTTAGGCGGTTCGTCGACGATTGACATAAAGAGGCGTTGAAACAATACGGTAGTTGAGGCTAAATATTGATTTTAAGGGGACAAGCTTTGGCCCGAGGCCTAGGCCTAACCCCAAGCCCAATCTGAGGCTAAGCTAATTCTAATTCTAAGCCTAAGCTAAGCCTAAGCTAGGGCTAAGCTAAGCCCAAGCTAAGCCTAAGCTAAGCCTAAGCTAAGCCTAAGCTAAGCCTAAGCTAAGCCTAAGCTAAGCCTAAGCTAAGCCTAAGCTAAACCTAAGCTAAGCCTAAGCTAAGCCTAAGCTAAGCCTAAGCTAAGCCTAAGCTAAGCCTAAGCTAAGCCTAAGCTAAGCCTAAGCTAAGCCTAAGCTAAGCCTAAGCTAAGCTTGCTAAGCCTAAGCTAAGCCTAAGCTAAGCCTAAGCTATAGCTAAGCCTAGCTAAGCCTAAGCTAAGCCTAAGCTAAGCCTAAGCTAAGCCTAAGCTAAGCCTAAGCTAAGCCTAAGCTAAGCCTAAGCTAAGCCTAAGCTAAGCCTAAGCTAAGCCTAAGCTAAGCCTAAGCTAAGCCTAAGCTAAGCCTAAGCTAAGCTTAAGCTAAGCCTAAGCTAAGCCTAAGCTAAGCCTAAGCTAAGCCTAAGCTAAGCCTAAGCTAAGCCTAAGCTAAGCCTAAGCTAAGCCTAAGCTAAGCCTAAGCTAAGCCTAAGCTAAGCCTAAGCTAAGCCTAAGCTAAGCCTAAGCTAAGCCTAAGCTAAGCCTAAGCTAAGCCTAAGCTCAGCCTAAGCTAAGCCTAAGCTAAGCCTAAGCTAAGCCTAAGCGTAAGTCTAAGCCTAAGCTATGCCTAAGTCCAAAGCCTAAGCCTAAGCCCAAGCCAAGCCTAAGTCTAAACAGACAAAGCCAGCCCGCTGAAAACCAACCGTCGATTCGCTTCAGAAATCTCCATTCAGCCTCCGGCCAGACAAATTTGAATAGATATTTGTAGAGGAAATAGATAAAGAGGAAGCCTAAATATAAAAGTTAACAAGACTAGGTATGCAAAATTAATTACCCCCTAATAATCCAAAGCCAACAAGCGTTGCCCACGGGTCCTGCACGGCCGGCACGACGACCAGCGAGATGGAGATGATCAACACGAGGATCGGGATGATAATTGGCAGCTAAAATGGGTGCTGTATTCTTGAAATGATCGGAAAACTATTAATTTATCACTTTAAACTTTTAGAAAAAACATTACTTCGCCTTTGCTAGCCCTTTAAAAGTCTTCCCGGTCAAATGGTTTCTGCTAGCCTACCTCTGACTGGAGGTTCTTTATTTGCCTTCACAATCCCTTTAAACAATTTTTAGGCGCATCCTAAATAGTTTCTGCTAGCCTGCCTGCTATTGGGACCCTTGGTTTGCCTTCCCAGTCCCTTTAAAAGGTTTTCGCACATTTCTCCGAAGGTTTCTGCTAGTTTGCCCGCTAGTAGTGCACCTAATTTTCCTGCTGCGCCCCTTTAAACCCCCGTCCTCGAGGATCTCTGCTAGCCCGCCCCTACAAACCGACCCGTAATGCGCTGGAGCTGACCGGTAGCCCCTTCCATCTGATATATAGCAACGCAGCTACCGTAGTCGCTTGGCGAAGCATACCTGAAATTGGATAGGGTAGCCGTGCGGGACCGTAATCCCAACCTGTCACCACCAAATATTTCATTAGTGTGTCGATGGGACCGACGAAAGAGAACGCCATCGCTGCGAGGACCTATTTTTAAAGGGATTGTTCAGGGAAAGTTCAAAAATCTATCCAAATTTTAACTGCTGTGGCCCTTTAAAATCGCAAAAATGGCAAAAAACCGACGTGGAAAAGTAGGCCTGTCCTGGGGGATTCATTGTCGGCATGGACAAGCGCGAGAAATGTTGGCATCATTTTGGCCCGGGCCCCGGCCAGAATAAACCTAAAATCGCGATACGGAAATATAACAAACGCCAAAATACCGACACTAAAAATACCGACAGCTAGTATACCGAGATTAAAAATCACGACATTCAAAAATTCCGACTGGGGAAAGTCCTGACAGCAAAAACTCGGTGCTTCCTGTGATTGGAAATATTGCAGTGATTGTTTGTCGGCATTTTGGCTTGTCGGCTGTCGGGATTCTAGCTGTCGGGATTATGACGAAAATCAAAGATCTTGGCATTCCAAGCCTCGAAATTCAAAATACCGACAGAGCTCAACAGCAAAAATCCCGACAAACACTTCACGCTAATTAATACATCGGGACTCTTGGCTGTCAGTAGTTTCCCGGTCGGGATTTTAGCTGTCGGTGTTTCGATTGTCGAAATTATAAATGGCGGGATTTTAGCTGTCGGTATTATGACCAAAATTCCAAAATTATGGCATTTAAAACCTAGGTAGGCAAATCCCGACAGCCAAATTCCGATAATTAAAATACCGACAACCAAAATCCCGACAAATACTGGACGCTATTGAGCATATCGGGATTTCTGGTCGGGATTTTGACTTCCGGAATTTTAGTTTGTCGGCATTATTGATTTCGGCGCTATGGCCGAAATTGCAGCCACCCACCTACTCCACGAAAACAAATCAGAATTCAACGTGCCCGTCATCAGAATGGCCACTATCGCGGGCATGGCATAGTAGAAATTGCCGAGGGTACGACGGCTGAATGTCTGCCAATTGGTTGGCTATAGCGTGGATCAGCTACCGTAGCCACGGCACTCGAATCGAGAATGTCTTCTGGGAGCAGGATGGTGAAGTAGGCAATGTTGGTGAGCATGTAGATGACCGTGACGACGGCTAGGCCGCCGACGACGGATATTGGCATGATTCTGAAAGAGAATTGTGAGAGAGACAGAGAGAGAGAGAGAGAGAGAGAGAGAGTGAGAGAGAGAGAGCTAGAGAGAGTGAGAGAGAGAGAGAAAGAGATAGATAGTGAGAGAGAGAGGGGGAGAGAGGAAGACAGCGGGAGAGAGAGCGAGATAGAGAGAGAGAGTGAGAGAGAGAGAGAGAGAGAGAGAGAGAGAGAGAGAGAGAGGAAGACAGCAGGAGAGAGAGGGCGAGATAGAGAGAGAGGGAGAGAGTGGGAGAGAGAGGGGGCGGGGAAAGAGGGAGAGAGGGCCGGAGAGAGCGAGAGATAGAGAGCGAGATAGAGAGCCCTCCACGCACCTTTTCAAATGTTTCGGGTCCACATCTTCCGTCCCGTAATTCAGCGTATCATAGCCGGCATACGCCCAAATACCCGAATAAATAGCCAACACAATTTCCCCCGGATTCTTCTGCGTTCCCTTCCAAACGACGTCTTTTTCAAAATGCTCTGTTTTCCCTGAAAATCGAGTTCCTTTCGATTTCAGCGTGTCGCTGTACCTTTAAAGATCAAAAAGTAGAACCCGGTGACGATAATGATGGACACGGAAACTAATTTGGCCAGCGTGATGCCGATTTGAATCCGGGAGGCCCAGCGATTGAGAGAGAAGAAATTAGCCCACATGAGGAGCCCTGGAAAAAAGGATACGGTAATCTAGATAACCATCGAAATTGAATAAAATCGGTTTTTGAAAATCGAAAAAAGTTTTTAAAAAACGAAAAGGTTTTGAAACCTATTTTACAAAATATTGAATTTGCATCAACGGACTAAAAAAATTCAGTTTCCAAAGTTGCCGATTTTGTAAAATATATTGAATTTTTGTAAATTCCGGGTTCGATTTGAAGTTTTTGGAAGTTTCGGATCCTAAGTGGCCATTTAAAAGGTTATTCATCAAAGGAGAGAAAAAGATATAAATAAAATCCAAGCATATTTTTAACTCACAAAGTAATGCAAATCCGGAAAATTGCTCAATTCTTCGCCTCCCCTCATCACTTAAATCCAAATCCAGTGGATCCAACGCCTCGACAATGTATTCGCCAAAGGTGAAAAATAGAATTGCACAGCTGCAGGACCTAAAAAAATTACTTGAACCGAAAACTAGCTGTCACGTTCCCTTTAAAACCGTATGACTTACGCTTCAATCAAATTTGATAGCCAAAGAAACGCGAAAGCCAGCGGTTTCCATTTGACATAATTTATATACGCGAAATCGGAACCGGACTCAGGGATTGAAGTCGCTAGCTCGATGTAGACCTGAATGCTCAAACTTATCAACAGGTAGATGTTTAGTTCACTACGTTAAAGTACCTCATAAGCATCTTACCAATCCAGACAACATCGCAATGACACAGCAGGCTAGCCAGATGACAAGTGAGAGCCCGATAGAGCCGGCATGCTCCAGGATTCCTTTTGGGGAGACAAAGATGCCAGAACCGACGATCGTGCCTGGAAAATGAAGCAGAAATGAGGGAATTCTGCAGCGATTTTTGGCAGATTCAGGGACGACGGCGCGGTCTGGCAACGCTTTTTTGGGAACTTCAGGGCCTATGGAAACGAGTCGTTGGATGAAGTTGGCTTAATTCAAGAAACATAGAATCTCAGAACAGACTAGCGGCGATTTTTTAGGAAAATCGACCACGCAGGGCAGGCTAACAAAATTCCTGACGGCTCCAGCGATCTAGCACAGATCGCTGAGGAAATTGAGGGACCCAGGCAAGCCGGCAGAGATCCTTTGAGAAATTTAGCACAGTTAGGGCAGCAAAGGTTTTTGGAGGAATTCCGAGATATCCAGGCAAGCTGGCAAAGATTCGTTAGCAAAGGCAGGATTTTGATGGTAAGCTAGCAAAGATTCTTTAGGCAATTTAGAGGCATGGCAAGCTAGCAAAGATCCTTGAAACCTTACCCGCCGTATAACTGACAGCACCAAAGATTCCAATCTTATTTTCGGTGGGCGGATGCATAGTTTGGAGTTGATTTGAATATGAATGAACAGGAAAATCGGCCCAACAAAGGCCGAAAAGTGAGTGCGTTTTGGCTGCTGTTTTTGGGGGGCTTATCTCTCGGTGATTCTGCTGGTGATGTAAGCTGCTCGGGAATTTGCAAGACTCTGTGAACTTTATAGCCCGAAAAAGATTGCCTTAAATTACATGCGTGTAATTTCTGTTTTGGATCGTATTGCATAAAATTTGGATTCTTGTTGTTAAAATACGATGCTTTTCAAATAATTAACATAGTTAACATATCACAAAATTCGTGAAAGATCGATGGGGGGTAGCAAAAGAATCGGCGGGGAAGGTGCGCGACACGTGAGTACGATTAATGCGAGGCCAATCGATCGATTGGGCTCCCTTTTGAGACATTTAGTGAATTAAAACGTGTGACATCTGCCGGTCCTCGACCTCTCCGCACGGTATTTTAACCACTCTAGCAAAACGGCCTCTTTTTGTTAATTTTAACCCGCTCGGTCATCTTCAGGCAATTTTACATAGTTTTTATAGCATTTTCATCCTTCTCTCGAGAGCTATTTCGAGCCTATAGTTGTAAATGATTACTTCCGGAAAACGCAAAGTTCGAAAATCGAGTACGTACAAAAAAAACACCCACATTCCTGCCAAAAATCTGGCATCAGCATGGCATTTTTTTGGCGCTCGAGCAAATTCAACAAAACGTTGGGAATAAACAGACAGTTTTGAATATTATTTTCGGAAGTAATGAGGTTCCCATTCCTTTGCAGCGGCAACTTGCAAAAGTAGTTGCGAAAGCGGCAGACTGTGGAGCGATGTTTGAAATGGGACGGCTCTCCGAAGACCTCTTCTCCGCCATTCTCGATCAACTCGGCATTCTCGATCTTATCGAGTTACGGCACGTCAATCGGTACTACAGGTCAGCATATCTTGTTTTTATAATTTTTCCCAATATCAAAATCGGGCTTCCGGGAGGCCGAAAGACTTTTTCAGGTCGGCAGTCAATCAGCGTGGACTTATCCCCAGAAAAGTGCTCCGGCTAAAGATATATTCGCGCATTAAGGGAGCGAAAGATGAACATGGAAGTAATGATGGTGAAAGGGTAATATTCTTACGCAAGCTTGGTCTGGTATTGTAATACCAGCCGCTTCGGACTTCGGACGCTTCAGCGGCTGGACTTCGGCCCACCCCCAGCGCTTACTCCCCTCCCCGAAACGCGCGCGATCTGGCTCACTCTGTGAAAATCGTGACAAAGTCCGCTCCCCACTCGTTCTTTTAAAGCGCACGTTCAGGGAGGGGCCGTGTACTCGTTCCAACGTGTACACCCTATGGACGTAGGGACGGCGCGCACTGACTGCCCGTGCTGTTACAGGCCATTCCTCTCCTTTGCGGCGTGGGACGCCCCTCGCCCCCTCGCTAGGTTGTAGCTGTGGCTGACTGGTATCCATCCGCGCCTCCCGAGCGGGGGGCCCGGGTTCGACCCCCGGCCGCCGCAAAAATCTTTGCTTTTTTCCAAAAAAACGTCCCTGAACGTGCCCTTTAAGGCGACACTTTCAAAGCTAAATTTACCAGTTTAAACGAAAACTCTTTCATATTTTTTACAGTTGAGGCTTTCTGACCACGCTCTACCCGAATTCAAAGAGACCTAAGCTCTAGTTCCTTTCCCCTTCGAGTTGAATTCGGGACATGACGGACGGACGGACACCACAGCAAAATTATTTTAGTAACCAGATGGTTACTATAATAATTTAGTATATAAGCGTTGCTCGATCTATGAAAAACTTTCAATACCTAAGATTTACCTTTGTCTTTGCCTAGATAATGGTTGCGGAGACGAATGTATGGATTGAGGATCTATACGGAACTGCAATCAATTACCCCAAATACGATGCACTACATCGTATCGGACTCTTTTGTCAACGGCCGCGTTTTGGTGGTGAACCGGCTACGGAATCCGCTCGGTAATAAAGAAAACAAAAAAAATGCGGTGCTAATGCAGAACGGGCGGGGGACCCAAATTTCCAAAGTTACGAGAAGTGTCTCGTGTCTCAAAGTCCGGTTCCGCGACTTGGCTTTCAGCGTAGGCTTAGCTTAACTAAACCTAAGCCTAGTTTATGCCCGGCTTAGCTTACAATTAGCTTTAATTTGCCCCAAGGTCTCGAAAAGCGTCATTTGAGGGGTGACTTGAGGGGGAGGCTTACAGTTAGCTTAGCTTAAGCGTGGCTTAACTTGGTTTTGAATGAAGTTAAGCTCGGGCTTCGGCTTGGCTTAGCCAATGGGTAAGCTTAGATAGAAATTAGAATTAGATAGCTTAGATAGAAATAGAAAGAGCTTAGAGAAATTAAAAAACGTAGTTTGGAGCGTCTCGAAACCTTGGACCAGAGTGCTACCCCCCGTCGTGCATTAGCACCAAAAATGCATACGCATTCAGAGCCTATCGAGCCTTACGACTACCTATCGCTCAGTTTCTCAAGTTTCTTCGTCATATCCGATCTCCAATGTATTTGTGGATCTCGTTGACGCCGGGTTTCGAACAGGTATCGGTACTCGTAGGAAAGCGGGGGAGATAAAATAACGGGGGGAACTCATTATTATGAATTTTGCAATTACTGTGGGATTTTGCGCGTGCCATTCGATAAAACGTCGAAAAATATTCTAAGATAATTAATTTCAGCCCAAAATAATGTAATGGAATTTTTTTATTGAATAAACAAAAAATGTGGAAAATCTATGGGCAGGGAAAACAAGGGGGAAGTAAAATTTTTGGTATTTTGAAAACGTCATTTGATAAAGCGTCGAAAACTGCGCTAGGCGAATTGATTTCAGCCCGAAATAATGTAAATGAAATTTTTTATCGAATAAACAAAAATTGATCAAAATCCATGGGCAGCACATAGGATAACGGGGGGAAGCCAAATTTTCGAGAATTTCGATATTCCCTTTAATAGCTGATAGCATTTCTGGATGCATTCGCGTTTTTAACCTGCTTAGTGATGCTTAGCATTTATTGACGTTTTCAGGAGGGCGGATCTGTACCAATTCCAGAACACGCCAGACCGACGTCCACCAATTTTAATTATGATGTGAGTTCAGCAATAACGAATGGCAAGCGGAACGAATTGTTGCTAGACACAAAAGAAATTTTTGATGGATCGGAAGCGGATCGGATGGGGATTCTTTTTGTATTCTGAATTAAAAGGGGAACCTCAATTTCGTCGATGCTTTGCCCATACGCCATTCCCATACATCTCGATTTACAGTTGGGCCCATTTATTCGGAATCTCCGCACCGTCTACAGTGTCAATCTGTGCGTCGACTCGGCTGAATGGCTGCCGAAATTATGCGGCGACTATTTGGACGACGTTGTCCAGCTCAACGTCTTCAACGTACGCTTTTTTGGGGACAGTGTCGCGCGGAAATTGAAACGAAGCGAGCAAAAATTCTTTGCTTTGGTTTCCGGGCGAACGCAAATCCCAAATAAATTTTAGCCGGCGGATACCGCAAACCGCTGGCCACCGATGCGTCAGGTGGGTCCCTTGCTCAACCAGACAATTTTCTTATTGTGTCGCATTGAACACGATTACGGGCACCAAAAAAAAACCAGCGCAAGCGTATGGCGACAATCGTTCCAGAGTTTCGTGAAGGGAGCCATGTGGAGCGAGTTTTTTTGTGGAAAAAGACGTGAAGAAACTATCCTCGCCGATACCACAAATAATGGACAGGTCCCGATGCTGTTTGAGGTAGGTCAGCCCCTTCTTAAACGGTCCCCAGCGTTGATTCCTGGCATATAGCCAGATGCGATCGCAACGCGACCGCGCCGCATGATCCCTTGGCCCCTGTTTGGACGTGAAAACGTTTAAACTTGAAAGTTCTGACGCTATTTCTGGAATCCTCATCAAATTTTGATCATTCTAGACTTTTTAATTATAAAAATCGACCAGAGAATCACCGAGATCGAGGGATTGGGTACCTTACCGGGCATTACGACATGTAATCCCGAACAGTCAAAAAGTCGTTTTCGCCCCAAGAACATTTCGGTCTTATCGAAAATGTTTAAGAAAATAAGGATCATAAGGGTCCCCCCTTATGAAATTTTCGGGTCCCGGTCCATTTCGGGGGGCACCTTACGCTACGTCCCGGGAAACAGATTTGCCGGTACTTTTTGGAGGGACCCATACGTTTTTTGACGAGCAGGTTCGATCCCCGCACACGAATTTGTCTTCCGAGTCCCTTTAAAAAGTTTATTTTCGGCGGAGTATATTGAAGAAAATGTGTTGGTCGTCCATCTAACGTCCTTGAAAATAGCATCTCAGTTTTTGCAGCAATTCATCCTGCATCAAATGGGTGTTAATGGGACAAGAATGGTGGAAATCAACACGAGACGCGGCTTGTCATCAGAAGAAAACTACAAAATGATCGCTGATGGGTTCTGGGTACAGTCTTTCAAAGCACAGTACGCTTTCCTGGCTCTTCCCCCCTCGCTTCAAATGCGTTCTTTCAAGGATTCCATTGCCCTGGGCCTGGAAAGAATCGTTGGCATGAGGATCGTCGAATTGGCCGAGGGTGAAGCCGAGATGACAACGATCAAAGAATGGATGAGCCAACGGCGTCCGGTCGGTAGAAGCCTCCATTTATCAAACTCGATGTTGCCCAATCAAGTGGTGTCCGCAAAAATAGACTCAATCTTTTCGGGACTCAAAAAGCAAAAACTATGCCGCGGGCCGGGGTCGAACCCGGGACCGCCGTTTTGCAGGCCTGGATGCTATCCATTAGGCCATAGTGGCAAGCCCTTGAGTGGGATGGGGACGCCACAACAGGGAAAGGTGTCCGAATTCTGTGCGGCAATGGCGCCCCATTGCCGCACAAAATTCGCGTGTCATTTGTACTCTCCGGAATACAAAAATATATATTTGCCGCCAAAACATTGGGTATCCCTTTAAGCGGTGTGTGTCCGGCTTTTTACGAGGGAGGTATCAATTGAAGGCTCTCGACGAGGT